GGACTTCTCCAGCTCTTTGATTGCCTGGCTGTAAAGATTGGTGGCCTCTCCATACTGGCCTGTTTTGAAACATTCATTTCCACTTTGTTTCAACTCCATCCAGGACTTGGACTTCTGTTTCTGAGGCATCTCTTCTTTTTAATGGTTATCTGAAAAGATTAAACGCTGGTTACCATCTGTACATGATAATAATCTTTGAATCCATTTGGCACTGTGATCAGCTGACAGACATTTACCAGAGGAAACTTCATATACATCCTTTATATGCCTCCTTTTAAAGTACTCAGGGTCTCTACAACAAACCATGTTCTGGCTCCCAGCAAAGAGGATTGTGGATCTTCTTTAAGTGTTTGTCAAGGATTCATTCTGGTTGAAAACAACTTGTTATCCCCTGACACCAAAATCTGAATTTGTGTAAAGAATTTAATATCCTCCATTTGCATCCATAAACTTTTGCACTTACAAAACCGAACTGTGCTAAGAACAATTTCTCAGGTATCTCAGGGACACCTTAAGAGTTGAAAAAACATTAGGGATGCATAAATTCTGAATACGTGCCGATACCAAGAACAACTACGACACTGGTGCTTCCCTCTTCCCATATTTAAATACCGCTACCTCAAATCGTGGAAGTCATTCAGATAACACCTATGTAAGGTAATACGAGACTGTAACTTCAGATAACTCATTTACTAAAGGTGGAGATGTTTATAGATTATTTTAAGGCTTATGCAAATGTTATTATATTTGATCTGATCAGGTGGATGGGATCTGTGCATCCAAGTATATGGATACATCAAAACATGCGAGCAATAATTGTATCTGTAGATGTTAAAGAAAATCTGAACACCCATACATTAGCTGTCTTGTTACAACAGCTCCACTCCAGCTATGACAAATGTTGTGTCCATCAAATGCAATGTGTGCTCCTGAGCTACACACTGAACCCACACCTGTCCCCTCAGTTCAAACTGCTCTGGATGACACTATACATTAAGGACATCTCAACATGGAAACTGCAAGTCATTCTGACTTTCTGAGCTGTACCTTAAATCGACATCAGACAAAAAAAAATGGTGGTTGAGGGAAAATCTGGATTCCTGATTAAATCTGCACAAAAAACATTAGACTCTTTGGATCCAGTTAACTGGGTGGTTTTAGTTACAGAGCTGTTAATTTCACCTTTACGGTAATGTTCAAGGCTGTAATTTGTGCTACTACCTCTCACTGCGTTACTGAGGTGTTTCTAACATTTAGTAGAAGTTAACAACAAAAACTAAATTCATTAAAAGGGTATCATTTCTTGCCAGGCTGTTGTATTATACTGATTCAGTTTTGGCTAGGTGGACTCAATAAACTCACAACTGTCAGTATAAAAAAATAACCAATGTATATGCTAATGATATCCACCCACATCATTTACCAGCATTAGTCTTAAATCAATTTAACTCTATTTTACCTACAGCTTATCCTAAATCCATGTTAGCTTAACTAACAAGTTGTGCGGTCGCCTGTTACCTTAGTTAACCTAGCTAACTAACTAATAGTTGCTGCAGCAGATTACATTTTTGACACTTAAAGTTTAACGTTAGAATAACACCGAGGCACACCTGGACTACGTTCTCGAGTTTGTTTTAACAGGCGTTAACTTCCACCCTTTTTGCTGGTCAAGTGCTAAGTTAGCTCGCTAGCTAAGTTATGCTAATACAAGTGGAATTTGAACGGTGTTTTAAAATAGCTAACTTAGCAAGCTAACCACACCGCCACTGCTAGCTATGCTAACGTTAGGCAGCTTCTTACCGGGTGATGATTCTGATAGACAACAACGCAGCAAGGAAGTCCTCCTCTTCACAACACCAATGACTTGGTCGAAACGTCTGAACGGCTACCGGCACCTAAAACTATCTGTACCCGTTAGTACGTTATTAATACTGTGTACTTGTTTTCTCCTGGCTGTTCAGACCCACGAGGTTTTCATCTGCCCGTGCGGGGGTATTTGAGGTAAGGAACTTGCCGGCCGGCTCTAGTAACTTCTCGGTCTTGTTCTTAGGGGGGCTACGGTACCGTATCGGTTTCGCTTCGTTTTTCACGCCGCGTTCATGTACTGAGGAAATTATAGGACTTTGGAAGAACGTAGTGCGCCCTCTGGTGGTCAAATGGGATTTATGTTAAGCGGTTACAGCATGAGTCAATCAATCAAAAACTTGTTTATTATAGAGTCGTTGTGCAAATCTTACCCACAACAATACATAAATACATGCCCACACAAACACACATGCATATATACATATAAAAACACCATAGTAAATCATAATATCCAAAGAAGGTTCAAATCAAGGGCAACTGGGTTTGGTTCCTTGGATAACTATGACGTGTATGAACCGTCACAGACAACACAGAAGCCCTGAATTAATATATAGCATAATACAAATAGCATTGAAAATGTTACTTTAGTACAGTAAAATAATACAAACATAATGCCATTGTGAGAAAATTGCACTGAAAGTATCAAAAGTAAAAGTAAGTAAGTCATTATACAGCAAAATCACTCCTGTCAGTCAAGTTTTATAATGATTCAGTATACAAGTGGATTGTTTTTGCTTTGGAAAATCCACAATACTGGAAAAAAAATTGGTCCATCATCAAGCAGTGTTCACTGGTTAAACGCAGAGAAGCGTCTTCAATACAATACATGTTAGGGTGCCACTCAAAAATAAAGTTTCTAATTTTCATCTGCTCACCCCCCAAATGTGTTAAAAAACTAAGTTTCCTAATAATTTTTACTGGTAGCTCAACACTGACAATGTTTTACAATATTCAACATTTTTCCAATTTTATCATGTAATATTAACTTTAATATCACAAGTTAGAATAATAAGTGTCCAGAGAATGACTGTATTGCAGCTCAAAAAACAGCTGCATGTGTTTTGTTGTAGGCTAGCTCTCCAGCTCACAGAGTAGCTGCAGATTTCTATGAAGTGGACAAAACACATGCACATGTAAACCAGACAGACTTTCAGATAGACCTTAATTATGAAAGTGGCATAAGTGGGCGGCTTTGACTCAGGGTAGAACGGTCGTCCCCTTAAAGGAAGGTTGGGAACCTGAAATTGCTCCTGGTGGTTGTGACATCAGTGTGTGAATGAGTTAATTTCTGTTTCTGATGAGCAGTTGGGTCTCTGCTCATAGGTGGGTGAATGCGATGTAGTGTAAAGCACTTTGAGTGGTCGAAAAGACTAGAAAGGTGATATACAAATACAACCCATTTACCATATATGACAGGTCATTCGGAATTGGGGGCGAAACCGGAAAATTTTCAGACTGTAGCCGCTGAATCACTGAACCCGGTGGAAAGCTCTGAGAGCCTAAATGTGTACATCTGCACTGCGCTCCAACAAATAGAAGTGACAGCTGCAGAAGAAGCTCTTGTTAAGTGACTTCTCTCGAAGTGTCCTTCTTTACTGTACCAGAAAATAACATATATATAAATATATAGATTAACATGACACACAGATGTGACATGGTGGTGCAGTGGTCAGCACTGTCACCTCACAGAAAGAGGTTCTGTGGATCGAGGTCCAGGCCTTTCTTTGTGGAGTTTGCATGTTCTCCCCGTGTCTGTGTGGGTTCTCTTCATGTTCTCCTGCTTCCTCCCACTGTCCAAAGACATGCACAGGTTAATTGGTGACTCTTTGCCCTTAGGTGTGAACCTGTGTATGACTTGTTTGTTTCTGTGAGTTAGCCCTGTGATGAACGGGCAACCTGTCCAGGGTTCACCAATGACAGCTGGGATTGGCTCCAGCCCCTTCGCCACCCTGCCCTGAGTTAACTATACTACTGACTACGGCTGCAATATTGCTAAGCCAAAAATATTATTCTGATTACATGGTATTTAAACCAAATAATAACAAATCAGAATATGAAAAAGAGCAGTTAAATGATATAAAAAATTACAACAATACATACTCAAGGATTAATTTAGAATAAATTAAAAGAATAATTAAAGAATACATTTTTAAATTTTGAATTAAATAACATTTTATTGCAATGAAAGTAAATATAAAAACATTGAGCCCATTGAGCTACCAGTAAATATTAATATATCTGAATGAAACTTCTCACAGTAACTATGCATCATAAAAGGAACAGAATGAGGAGGTGGGACCTGGAAAATGTTGAAAAAAACATTGGCCATTACATTGAGTGGCACCCTAATACAGGTGCATCTCAAACAAAAAAAAATTAGCTGCACCTGTAAGTCTAGGCATTCATCAAACTTTGCAATCGGATTTCAAATCCAAATTAAATTCGTATGTACATCCTACTAGTTACAGAAAATGTGTTTTCTCACAAACCAGACCAAAAAAACTACCTTTTCTCAGAAAAAACGTTTGAGATGCACCTGTACTTTGTTTAGTTAGGGGTTGCATGTTTTATTTTCGAAGTGAAAACTCCCACAGCTATGAACACATCATTGGGCAGAAGTCCATTGGTTTCTATTTTAGAGAAAGGAGGGTCAGACTGACAGACTTGTGATCACTTTCTCTTTTGCACTTTCATGTCCATTATTAGGCTACATTTGGGGCAACTTTTTTTGCCTATTTTGCTACATTTATTTAAAGTTGATTTTGCTTTCATTGTCTTTCTTTTGATTTTTTTAAGGTTGCTCGGATGCAAGCACATTGGAAGCGAAGCACTTTGAATTGCCTCTGTTTGAAAGTGCCATTGTATCTATGTTTCCCTAAAATCCAGCACACTGTATCTCCAACTTAACTTAACCAATAAAGGTGTTTTTTCGCCTGTTAGTGACTTTAGATTTGTATGAACCCTCATCACACCTTAGTGTGGACAGGAGTTTAAACCAAAGAGCTATTTATCCATCTTGGATTGTTTCTTGTGAAGGTAAAAGTGTTTAATATTTTGAAATTTACAAGACAAATGCAATAAAATAAATAAAACCATAAAACAGTGCAAATAAAACTGACCACACACAGTCCAGATTACATAGCATTTGGCCTTTTATTTTGTTTAGCCACAAGGACACACTTTAACACCATCTCATTTCCTCACAGGGGCAGTAACAAGCATATGTAGAGAATTAATGGATGGATTGATGGATTGATTTTTTTGGTGCAGTTCAAGCTAAGAGTTAAGAAGACTGCAGGTTCAATTGTAGCCTGAACATTCCTCACAAATTGAGAAAACAGTTGTCTGTGTGTATCAGGTTTAGCTGCATTCTTCTGTGATGCAAACTTTCAATTTCCTGTTAAGACTTTGAACCCAAGGTCAAAATGTAAAGCAGGCTAATATTGGTTTATTAAATATTTTCTGTCGACAAAACTGACAAGTAAAATGTAAAAAAGTGTATGTAAATATATATATAGACAGCTTCAGCACTACACTGTTTCTGCAGCAGATTCCACTTTCACCTGGAAACCACTGCAGCATATACGAGCTTGTGGTGCAGCATCATAACTATGGAGATATTTGTGAAGAGTCAGGTAGGAATTTTTTTTTTTTCAAATGAAAAATGTCCTGATTCCACTGCATATCTTTGGGATGGATCACTTGTTAATGATAAAGATTCTGAAGACAATCTATAAAAGTCATCAGTACCAGATTCAGTGTCAGATGGTCTCTAACTCAGTTCTTAAAGAAACAGCCACAAATATTAACAGCCTCACTATTCAATCAGTGCCTCAAAATATAGTCTTATTTATTTTAGCAAATACAGCGTTGTCTGATACTTAAGTGGCCATTGTATGCAACATCATTACAGCAGATCCAACAGGGCAACAAACATGAGCAGTCAGACGACCAGAGAGGTTGTAAACACACCATATTATATCCAGATATAATCCAGATTATCTAAACCACTTTATTTAAAAGCAAAATAGAACGTGCGCCTGAAATGTTCGTAATAATCTCTTAGTGGACAGAAAAACTGTGCATAACTACAGTAAGCAGAAGAGGTCAAAGTCCAAGCAGGAAGTGTTTTGAGTGTTTACAACGGACAGTTTGGCTAACAATTTTACTGTTTGCTTTTCTTGTCTAAATTTGGCTAACCTGGAGGTTTGTTTCCAATCTGTATGATCGTCTGACTCGTGTTTCTTGCTAACATCAGCTTTGCCAAATTCACTATTTCCATGACTCTGTAGGGATGAAGGAAATGGAGAGCATCACTCCTGAAGTGGCGTCCTTTTGTCACTTACAGGATTAGTTTGGTGATATTCTATATTTTTCGTCTTGCAGGTAAATCTCATTAAAAGACCAAAAGCAACAATGAAGTGATTTTACTCAAAAAGGATTATTTGGTATGATTTTGTCCCAAGGTTCCCTATCTGAGGACTTTTGCTTTTGTGTGTTGTTGTGTTTTATTACAGAAAGTGTATGAAAACCATGATTCTTACTCAGCGATACTGAGAATTTACAGCCTGACATTGACACTGCAGCTACCCTTGATGTGTCTGAAAGTGGAACAGTCGAAGTTGGCCACCAGAGTCTTGTCGCCAATCTTGTTGGGAACAAAGAAGAACTTGACGCGTATTCCGTTGTTTGGCTTCAGATCTGGAAGCCTGTGGGTAACACAAAGAGTAGTAAGAATAACAATAGTTTGAGGGTCACACTGTATATTTATATTGACTGGTGTTACCCAGATTTTGGATGGCAGTGTTGTGCAGTAAAATGTCTCAACTGTATTGAACCACAATAACATATTGAAAACTGTCAAGTACCAAAAGCTAGTTTCCAATCTCTCATTAGATTCATAATATTGTATGCTTATTCTTTGATCTCAGTTCCTGATTTAAGTCAAATTTTTACTTTGGGAAATTCTGGTTGCTTATCAGACCAAGTTGAAATTGAAGTCATCACTTTGTAATTATTGGTGACATTTTATAGACTGTAAAATTAATAAAGATAACCCACAGACTGATCCATTGTAAAAACAATTATTTGTTATTTGGACCTACTGTAAGCAGCATAAAACTTTATACAGGATCATCCCCATGACGTTATCTTAGACACACACTCACGTGTTTACAATCTCCTCTTTCAAAAGGCCACTTCCAGTTAGAGTCAGGGTGCAGTCCTTCAGCGTCTCGTCAACTGGGTTCATAAAAACCACTTCCCCAGATGCCTCACAGTTCCATCTGGTTGGACTGGAAACCTGGAACACACACATTTTAACAGATAATTCAAACACACTCAGTCAGGTAACCAAAAACAATTAACCTCATTGCAAACATTTTTTTGTCAGTAATGCTTTATACTATTCTGGTTCTTAGTGGGACTAAACTTATTTTCATAAACATAAAGTACATGTTTCTTTGTTTATGTGTGTGAGGGCAAACCCTGCAGCAGCACACTGATTTAGCTCACACACTGAACACATTGCACTTACATAATAATCTTACCAGTGGGGAAAAAAATATCAAAAAGTAAGACAGCCTGTAGTTTACAGGTAAAACCAACACATATATTAGTAAAACAGCAATCAAAAAAATACATCATCACAGAGCTGCGCATGGCTGTAGAGTCCTGTTATATGGTCTTGTTTATAAATTGTCTTGTTATATATATATTTATAACTAAGACCCAGACTTTGAGTATGATAAGAGATACTAACAGCTCTAACTAGTGTAACAGACACCTGAACAAAGTCTGATGACAGGTGATAGATAGATAGACAGAGAGACAGAAGTTTTCTACTGACGGTGATGGAGATGGGAGGGTTAAGCAGCACAATGTCCTGCACAGCCAGGTATACGTTATTTGGCTTCTGTTTGTCCGTGACCATGACTGAAACCTTCATGCTTTCACACTTCACCATGTGTTTATTGTAAGCCAAGAATGGGACCAGGATAGGGATGGATAGATCTTCAAGAGACAAGAGGAAGAAAAGAGAGATTTCACATCGGTTCAGTTTCACAAAAACATACAGTACTTTGAGATATCTGTCTTTGAGAATTCTGCATCCAAAATTCAAAAGCAACATCTCTGTCCAGAGTAATATCTACAGACGAAGATTCACCTCTCCCAGGCTGCAGTGTCTCCTCTTTCACCTCAGTCTGAATGGTCACAGCTGGTGAGCCGTTGTACCTCATGGCTTGGACACTGATGTTGATAGACAGCGGCCTGGCAGCATTGCCCTCAGTGCCCAGCACCAGCTTTAGGCTCACATCCCTGCCGTTCATCGGTTTGGACACCTGAAGCACCCCACAATGAGAAAAATAATGAGGTACTGTCATACACAGACCTATCCTGTATACAGGGATATCACCCCATTGAAGCCTGTGTGAGCCAGTACTATAAACAATTTTCAGTATAGTATAAGTGACTAATCATCTGCTTTATTTACCAATTTATTTTAACCAAAGTCCTAACCAGTGGGTTGCAGAGATTCTTTGAGGGATGGTGGCAAAAATGAAAAAACGGCTCCAACAAGGACACTAAAAATGATCAAAGGAATAATTTCTACTGGGGATGGGGGAACATGTGCACCTCACTTTAAGAGTTTCAGGTTGGTTTTCTTATTTTTTCTCTTTTTAAAAAAAATTAATTAATTTTTTTACCTGTCCTGCCTCTTAACATTGGCTGTCTGTGGTGCTCCAGAGTATGCTGAACCACACTTCAATGTAATTTGGCATAATTAACTGACCATAAGTAATGCTGAATATATGCCAAATAAATAAATAGATCCCAGCAGCCTACGCACTTCTCAAATGTCACAAATTTTACATCAAATTTATCTTCAATAAACAGTGGTTATGATAAAAGTAGTGCAGACTTCAAGATGCAATAATTACGATGCTCTTAGCTTTTGACTAGTGGGAATGAGGCACTTACAATCATTTCTAAGAGCATCTTAAGTTACAATGCTTCTGGTAAACACTTATGAAGTCTGAAAGATGAATTTTATAATCTTCATAATTATTTAGGGAAATGCTGCCCCATTGAAACAAATGTCTCTCTCTTTGAGGAGTTACTGTAAAAATCACTGGAAGGATAATTTGTGACAGTCCCCCCAAAGGCTCCATTGTCTTTTGTGTTCATCATCTACATGCAAAATCTTAAACTCCACCAACTATACAACACTACCACACATACATAATTACAGTTATAACACCAAAAAGAAAAACTCAGAAACTAAGAAAACATTATTTCACTTAAAATAAGATATAAAACATCCTGTTCAATAACTCTAAAGGGAAACTTTGGGTACTGTGACGAACCTCTTCAAATCGTATGGACAGTGGAGTGATGCAGTCTGGGGTTACTTCATCATTCACCTTCATCGGTCTACTCTCGACTGGCTTTACATTGGGGGAGAGTCTGCTGACAGCGTATTTGAAGACAGACCTCTCCTTCTCTGATCCTGTTAGGGTAGTAATTCAGTCAATTTCCACCGTTCTTCAGTTGCTACAGCTGAAGTTTGTGTGTGATCTGTTTGTCAGATGAACCCACCCTCTCTGTATTTGTAAGAGTCGGTGATGTCCATCCTCCTGTTGGAGCCAACAGACTTGGTGGAGATATTCTTACCAACTCGTTTAGTATCAGACAAGATATTCACTTTTGAACCGTCAGCTTTGATCTGACATGACACACAAACACAGACAATAGAAACAAAACATCTGAAACACAATTAGCTTTTTGAAATTTGCTGCAGACCTCAAATATATATTTGATCTATCTCTCTATCTCTCTATCTATCTATCTATCTCTCTATCTATCTATAGATATAGATATAGATATAGATTTGAGCTGCTCACTGACCAGCCAGTCAATACAGTCGGCATTGACCTCTGCAAAGACAAATGGTACGTCATATTTCAGGTCTGTGTCTCCGTTAAGAATGGCTGTGACCGAGGCAGGACCGCAGCAGTATACACCTACAGGAGGACAGACAATTAAAATCATAAAATGGAGTAACAAACTTCTCAACTGACATTGAAGGTTTTTGTTCCACAGAACAGTTTTCATCCTGACCTATTGTGTAATGCGACTTTAAGCCACTATCTGTAGGATTTAAAATGTTCTTACTTTGGTGCCACATGGTGGTCGCATGATGAAAGCTGTGTTTGACTTTGATCCAAACAAAAACCTATGCCTGTGCCATCATAACTTGCTGTAGTCACATAGAGCTTGTAGACATAGTCCTGTTATACAACAGGAGTACTATGGCAAATCAATAAAACGGGCAGCGTAACTGTAAGTGTAGAGCTAAGAGGATTAGTCGATTAGTCATCGAGAGAAAATTTATCCACAACTATTTTGATAATCGAAATATTGTTTTAGTCAAATACCAAATATTTGTTCCAGCTTCTCAAATGTGAGGATTTTGGGCTTTATTTGTCCTACATGTAAGCAAACAGGATAAGCAAGCAGGATGATGTGGGTGTGTTGTTGCAGGTGAAATGCAAAACAGCAAAATCAGTTTGAGCATTCTTTTATTTATACTCCTTTGTTCAACCCTGAACCCTTTTTATGTGTGCTTGTACATATTTGATTAGCCACTGCAGTTTGTTTGTGACTTTGTTGCACTTCCTTGCATTCACTTCCCCATGTGTTCTGCAGAAGCAATGATGAGGAAGCCAGAGTTTTTTGCTGCAGTGATGTTAATCTTCACTACTACTTCTATCCAGTTATACACATGCTTTGTTTCGTATATTCATGCCCCCCAGAGGATCATTGTAATGTTTTCAATGATTCCTGATCTTGATAGCACCATGAGGTCAAAGTTTCCTCTTGAGCACAAGAAATATAAACATCTGTCAGGCAGATTACCCTGATATTTTCTGAGAACAATTATGAACCCCAAAGGATGAAACCTTTTCATTCATCTCCATGAGCTTTCTGCTTGTGCCACCAAAATGTTCAACTGTTCACACAAGACATCTGAAGTTAAATCATTATTAGAAACTAAGAATATGCTTCTGGAAATGTTAATTTGCATGAAAAGATAAAACCTTTTTATTCTGAATCCCTATTTGGATGAAATTGGATTTATTGAATTTAATGGATTTATTTTACATCAATAAAATCTCAGATTAGAAGGTCAGCATGTACAAATAGGACAAGAAACAAGGTCATTAGAACAGGAAATATGTACCAGTTTAAGTTTATGGAGATAAACAAGTGAGTCTGTACCATCGCTCTTCTCCTGTGGTGTTGGGTCCAAAACTTGCCAGCCGTCATATTTGCCATCTTTTGCCAGGTCTGGCCGCCTCATCCACCCCTCCACCCACACGTGGAAGTTCCTAAAACAAAAAACAATAGTCTGATTCTGCAGCAGTGCAGTAGGCTGAGACAATCTATCAGGAGCAGCTTCATCTGCTCAAAGTACAACACTGTGGTCATTGTAACTCTAATATTTTGGTTTGAAAGACGTGTACATACTACAGCACCTGAAATTATATTCAACAATAATACACTTTCTTTAAAGAACTGCTCCGAACATGTTTTAAGACTTAAAAATACATTGAAAAATAAGTTCTGCCCCTTCAGCAGATGAATGTGAAACAGTCTTTTAGTGTCAAACTCTGCACATGCATCATTCTGCACAGTGAGGGTCCAACATCAAGTGAATAACTATAAACAAAACACATTTAGGATGTCTGGGATTATTGTGAAAACTATTGAAAACGTAATCTAATTTAATCAATATTTTTATATTGACAATAGATCACATTACTGCTTATATGTAAAAAAGGTCACTTGTATTTTTTTTGGTTCACTCTCACCACTCTCATAGTGTCGTTTCCAGCCTCAGGATGCTGCTGTTTTTGATAAAAAAATAAATAAAAAGCTCTTAAATCCCCTCTGTACACTACCTGCTCTGCACCAAACAGCAGACATAGTTAGCTGTCAGCTGGAGAAGAAAGTGGATAATTTAGCAGCTAAAGAGCCAGATTAGTTTGTGGAGACCAAACCGGAGCTAAAAGGAGAGAGAATTTGAATAAATGCTAATATTGCACTGTGCCTGCTGGATGCATGTATGCAATGCATGTATGCATTCCTAACACGTTTGTCAGTTTTGTGATTACAGTGTTTTTCCACTAACACAAATATTTGCTCTTCTCCTTAATGGCAGTAAAGCATTACCTTCAACAGTCCTCATGCTGCACATAAATGACTTTTAAAGTTCACCTAATGTTAACTTGAGGCTTCAGCAGTCTGACTTAAGTGAAGATGCCTACTTGATTTGTTGACTCAGACTGCTAGAGCATTATATTAGCTTCAGCTGAAATGCATTTTTGCACAAAACAAGGAAAGTAAGACAGCTACTTTGGGAATATGGGTTTTTTCACAGCCAGTATTGACAGGAGGAATGATAACAGCGACCAACTCTTTCAATGGACATATGGCATGTGATTATTATCTATTTTATATTTACTACTACTACTACACATATGTTCCTATGGATATATCAGTCACATGACAGATGTATGTATGTATGTAACTTCTATAATGAAAAAGGAAACAAAGCAAGCTAACCGAAAGTGTTTGGTGAATAAAACAGAGTGGTGCACTGGAGTTGTGCAAGTTTGATGGACTTGAAGCTCACACTGGTCTGCATCTTGCCATCTGTGCATTCTCAAAGTAAGAAATTGTAGATTCTTTGTCTCACCAAATACTGTCAGGGGATTCTTTCTCTCTCACTCCGTAGTCGGCGTGGTACACGTCGATGATCAGATTGCTGTTGTTGTCATGGGCTGACTCGAAGTTGGAGACCACACGGCAGGGGATGCCCAGCAGGCGCATTACTGGAACCACACACAGAGATTTGAGTCATTCAAATAAGTTCATTTAAAGTAACTACAGCTGTCACATAAATGTAATAAAGGTAAAAAGTACAATATCACTCTCTGAGATGTAGTGGAGTAGAAGTGTCATGAAAAGAAAATACTTTACTAATAGTAAAGTACAAATACCTTTTTTTTTTTACTTAAGTACAGTTCTTGAGTCAACATACTTATTTGCTGTCAATTTTTCAATTCATTTCAGCTACATATAAATTACAAAACAATTAATTTCATACATTTCATTAAATAAGTAAATAAATCATTAAAGGTGTGTGTGTGTGTTAAATAATAATAACAATAAAATAAAATACATAAAGTAAAAACAAATATTAAAAAATAAACATAAATAAGTAAAACAGTAAGTGTGTGTGTGTGTGTGTTGCTAATTAATTTCATATTGTTCATCCAAATGAATGAAATAAAATAAATAAAACAGTAAAATGCAGCTGTTATTTATGGATGCAAGCTGTTACATCCAGAAATCCATCCAATCCAAGTGTCATGTGATCAGTGTCAAAATAATGACTTAATAATAGTAATAATTACTTGCATTGCCCAAACAGTCCCAGACCCACATACATTCAATTTGAAGCAATAAAAAACAGAGAAAAGCAGCAAATGCTCACATTTGAGAAGATGGTAACAGCCAATGTTTGGGATTTTACCTTAATGAATGGCTTAATTAAACAATCCATCAACTGACTATATAAATTATTTGAGTAATTGTTTCAGAACTAGCATTTATCTTTACAGATGTTGTTCCAGGTGTGAGGACCTGCAGAGTCAGATGTTACTGTACCTGAGCACATCACACCGGCGAACACCCAGCACTGCCCGTACTTGACCGGGCGGCAGTCAGTATTTATCCACTGCTTAAGAATGGCATGACTGCCATTCCACTGAAAGGGTGGGACCCCGTCCCAATATGAACCGTCCCAGCGTCCCAGCAGGACACCACGGTCGTCATTACAGTTGATCTGAGACAAACAAGGAAATTATCATAAGGTGACTTTTTTCTCAAAATTACATTTTCATTCTTCCCCTCCCAAGAATGACCCAAACACACCAAACACTTGCCATATATATTGAGGATTACATCTTAAACTCTACCTCGTCACTGTCCTCTCTCCTTCTGTCACTTTTTGCAGGTATTTCTACCTCCGGAGCTGTAGAGTCTGGATCTGCGGTTGCAAGCCACCTACCACACCTAATCTTCCTGCACTATACCTGCTGCTGCAATTGTTATTATTAGTCCTATGAAATGCTTTATATTTTTTTTCATATTTGTATTATTGTCACCATTACTATTAATGGCGGCTGTGGCTCAGGAGGTAGAGTGGGTTGGCCGTTAATCGGAAGGTCGGCGATTCAATCCCTGTCTCCCCCAGGCTGCATGTCGAAGTGTCCTTGGGCAAGATACTGATCCCCGAATTGCCACTGGCGGCTGTCCGCCAGTGTATGAATGTGTGTGAATGTCAGTTTCTGTTTGAGCACTTAGGCTCAGTGTATGAATGTGTTTGACTGGTGAATGCAGATGTAGTGTAAAAGCGCTTTGAGTGGTCGAAAAGACTAGAAAGGCGCTATACAAATATGGAGCATTTACATTTATTATTTTACATCTCTATGTGGAACCTGCATTGTGCTACTGTGTGCTCTCTGGCCTCTTTCTGTACTGCACAGCATTGATTTGAGCTAAACGCTGATCTAGGCATGCTAACATGCTCACAAAGATAACTCTAATATTTTAAATGTAAAGTTGGTATAATGTTTATCATGTTCACCATCTTAGTTTATGTTAGAATGCAAACATTTGCTAATTAGCCCTGAAGAAGTTAAGCTGAAAATCTCACTTTTACTGTCATCTAGCGGTGGAAAGTTTCATCGCATCATTGCTGGATTTTGGTACTCAAAAAACTCAAAAATGTCCCTTAAAAAAAGCCCATAAATATCTGTGAAACATTTCTTTGCTGCTATAAAAGGTTTATTGAGGTATGTTTAAAACACACAGTGTGACCTACCATGGCGCTGACCACACGGCTGACGTAGATGGGGTTACAGCGCGCAGAAACATCGTCAGCTGGGTCATTCAAGTGTTTGTTGTTCATGTCCAACATCTTCAAACAAATGTCCACCATGTTGTCTTCAAACTGGGCAGAAGGAGACAGGAAAAGAGGAGATGCTCTTATATTGTATTTTATTTATGGTAATACATTGGTATTAACTGCAGATGTTTATAGTATCAACTGCTCAGCAGTAAGTTACAGTAAGTTGGTTAGTTAAAACTCCATTCAAGCAAAACATATTACAAAACAGTTTCCCTTGTAGAAACTGTTTTATATTCAAATTGCTCAAATTCAATAAGCTGAAGTTAAGTCAGTAGCTCAAATTGGCCAGGTAAAGGTCAGAAACTAAAATATAAGACATCAAATTCTAAATTGAACATCTGGAATACTAAGGATACCCCTGTCTGGGACATCAGACAACAGATAGATGGATAGATAGATAGATAGATGGTTTTTCAAAGTGTTTCCATGATATACCTTTAATGGCATTTAAATGTCAACAGAAAGTATTCAATAGTGATTCAATTTTACAATTAGGTATTCAATTCCTTATAAGCATAAAATCTTTATGGCCATTACGTGCTTCCAAAAAACTCTTCACAGGATTGAAGATGGGGAGAGGTCTGTGTTTAGGGGATGAAATAAGCAAATTGGCTTTCACAACCTCGACAATCCACTATGTAAAATAAGTATGAAGTATGATAATAGTTTATTTTATGATGCAAGAGCGCCACTGGCCACAAAATTACCTATAAAACATTAAACTGTGCTGGCACACTCTGGGTGCTCTGGATATGCCGTACCTGATTGTGATTCATGCCACACGTGTTGAAACGTAGAAGAAGAAGAAAAATGTCGTTGATCAACAACAGTGTTACTAATGTGGCCATTTTGTGGTCTGACTGTGCATTGGGTTTAACGTCAGTCAGTTTTGTCTATGTATGTGTGTATATGTGTGAGTGAGTACCTGTCCGTAGTCCCAGCTCATAGGGGAAATGTAGCTGCCACTTCCTCGGTAGATGATTCCTTGTTCATTCATTACATACTCCTGCCTCTGCTCCCCATTAGACAGAAACACCCAGTCATCTGCAGAGAGAGTGAATTAATTCAGACAGACAGACAGACGATAGGTCAATAGATTAGATAGTATATATGTTATAAGTTCAGATCTTAACTTAAGTAAAAGTACATCATCAGCAAAAGGCACATAGATTATCAAAAGAAGATATAGATAGCAATATATATCAAAATAACAATCTATATAACAATAGACTGACATCTTACCAGGACACCAGGGGTTGAAGAGCACCACCGGCGTTGCCAGTAACATTTTCTCATCCCTGTGCGTCACATACATCAAGTACTCCCCTATGGGGGTGTCGGCCGGGGGCGTAATGGTCAGGTTCAAGAGGCCTGTTAGTGGGGAGGAACTCTTGTGAAGCGCTATCTTCCACACTGCCTTTGCTGATGGTGAACCCTGCACTCTGTCTGGGACACTGAAGAATGACATCGTCCCCCGAACATCGGATGGGTGTTTTCCTGAGGAGAGGAGACACAGAGGGAGGCAGACATTCATTTACTGTTGTAACAAAACCATCTGTTGGTTTTTACTGACTGTTGGTTTTTTTTATTCCCTCATGGTCAACAAATCTCTTAAAAAGGCCACACCCGGAATACTTACACTACAAATAAGTATTGTTTATTATATTGTTGTTACTGTGTCGTCAAAGCCTGACATAGCTGGGTTTTCCTCTATGCCTACTGCTCTACAAAGGCAGAGAGCGTTGACTGCAAAAGTATGCAAATTGAGTACAAATAATGTGACGTTTTCAGGCTAGTGAAAAGTACACCTAAAATGCAGAACTGCCATTGAACAATTACCAGGGGAAACATAGTATCTACAAACTAAATGTGTTCTGTGCAGACAGGATGCCGAATCGCTGTGAGACCATGCAAGTCACGTCATCTGAACACCGAATTTGAACTCATGTCCAACATAGCATGTTATGAATGTGTCACATTTATACTCTCAGGACTTCACGACCTGTTCCTAAACACTTGAAGGCACATTAACTACATATCGTGACAATGAAATTGTCTTGTATCTGATAAAACTCACTGTCAGTTTAAACAAATTATTATTCTGAGTGATTGGAAAGTCTACTATAGGCATTAATCGGATACATTCTTTAAAAAATGTTTTGATGTATTTATTTACTATTCCTTTTTTGGTTTTAAATGTTGCAAGTTATTTTGTGTGAATGGACTGGTGTCGGCATAATATAGGATTTTTGTAAATTGCATATTCACACAAATTGTCATTCTTTGTTCATTATAATTTAAACCAGAAAAAACATTCATTCATTCATTTAATAAAGGACCAACCTGTCATTGCGACGATGTTGAGCGGGTAAAGGTCCGGGTTGAAACATTGCGTCAGTTTTAGGGTCAGGGTGAAGGGCTGGCCTCGCCTCACAATCAGCCGATCCACAGAGATTTCACTGGTGTGGTGTTCAGTGTTGTTGGTCTGACAGTGGAGGTCCACTCCCTTATAAACTGAAAGAGATTAAACATACAAACATTAACAAGTGACTAGAAGCTCTTAATAGAATATGAGTACATCAGGTTACTCAAAGAGAAAGCAAGCTATGAAAAGTTCATCAACTCTTTAATATAAAATTTATTTATTTATCACTTTTCTTATAAATAGCAAATCCCCAAGTAGAAGAAGCAAAGACCTTGTTCATCCGTGACAATAAGAAATCATTTAATTAATTTGCTTCGATAAAATGCAATTTTTATGATCTTTTTCATGTTCTGAACTTGTGTACAAGGGAAACATATCAGATATAATTACTATCATTTTTATGGTTACCCACAGTGGTCATGTAAAAAAGTATGTTAGTCATACTGTAAATTATTAAAATACCATTAAGTTGTCATTCTGTCTGTTAGTACAACATGTTTGTAAATATTATTTATTACATTATACGTTCAAATCTTTTATTAAATTATAGGTACAGACACAGTGCACATAATGAGTTTGTATTACATTTTTTAACACAACCCCCCCCCCGCGCCACCTACCCCTCAGCGCCACCTACCCCTGACACTTTACACTCTGCTGACTACTACTTTTAACCACCTGATACTCTACCTGCCCTGCCCCTAGTTTCTGCCACTACTGCTACAGCATAGTAACCGTTAACATGCCGAGCCAGTTTGCTGAGGCGAGTCCAGGTCTCTGCACATCCTCAGTTGAGTTAACTGAGCGTGACCCCTCCCAGGCTCAATACAAGGGGCATTGAACTCAGTATCTGTCTGTCTGAGACAGATTTTAAACCACGCCATTGTTAATTTCTCCATTTTACATTTTAAGGGGCATTAAGTGATCTGTGACCTTGTGGAAACTCATTGTGTAATAACGTTATGCAAATTGTATGTCATTGTCTGTAACATTGTACCCAGTATAATGCATAATTTTGATCACTTGCAGGTAAAACATCCAGACAAACATCCAGACATACAGGTTAAAAAGGTTTTAGACAGAATAGAAGAGAATACAACTTTAGAGTGTAAAATGGTCTTTGTCTCACCAAAACATAAAAGCAGCATGAGCACAGGTAGGCTAACATGTAAAACCAGTGACCTATCAACTGAGACAAGGCTAGAGTACAATACAATACATAAGAAAGAATATAGATAAAAAGAGTGCTGAGTCCAAAACAGATAAAAAAGAACAGATGAGAATGATTTGTTAGACTCCTTTGTCCTGACAGTATGCATGATCATATCTTAAATCTTATCATCCCTGGTCTATATATTGCTACTTTTGCATGAGAAAAACCACACCCTGAGGAGCATCTGTAGAGAGCAAGTCAGACATTGTTTCTCTGATACAGACTCTCTGTGGTCAATTAAATTAAGTCACCATTAATCCAAAGATCGACATGTCTTTGTTAAAGGACATGTGCATTTAAAAAGTTAAAAGCTTTGAGAGACCCAGGTTCAATCCCACACTGTGACCCATTCACCAGTGTGTCCATGAGAAAGACACTTAACCCCTAGTTGCTCCAGAGGCATGCGACCTCTGACATTTATAGCTATTGTAAGTTGATTTGGATAAAAGCGTCAGCTAAATGAATAAATGTAAATGTATATTTCTGTGCAGTTAGTAGTGATTTACAGTGAAAAATTGTCAAGTTAAATGGCAACATGTAACCTAGACGTTCTTCAACCTGCATATCATCAAATCACTGCTCATAGTTGCAGACACATACTGTAATGTAAGGAAATTAATTTTCCAACACATCAGTGCAGCTACATGATACTGGTACTGCTTAATATTTTCAATTTTAAAACACAATGCCTTTACATGCATCATTATATTAAATGGTAAAACATTAAAGAAGTGAATAATTCTACATACTTTACTGTCCCATAGCTTATTTTGCATAGCGTTTTATCCCATATTTACCCACAGGTCAACATCAGACATTTGGCATTTTTAGCATGTTAAAACATCTACTGTAAAGCGTCCTGCTCATCACCAAACAACCAGACAAAGTTAGCAACTAGCTGATGAGAAATGTAATCTTACAACATTTTTTAAATTTAATTTCAGTCCACATTGACTCCTAAAATATGAAATTTCTGCTCACTAAGGAAAAGTGTATACTTCTGCCCAAACATATGTAACCAAACACAACATTAAGGAATTCATTCATTCACATACAATGTATGCAAGCAGGTTGATGGTGTCTCACTGAATGCAAAGACCCACACAAGACAAGATATGATGATAAAGTTACTTAAATCAGATACCCATATTAAAAATTCTGGTGTACTTACCATTTTTTTTCATGTGGGCTGTCATCTTTCCAGAACTTTCTCTCTTAAAATAGTAGATGTAAAGACAGGAAAATGCACAGTGACAGGTGACTTAGTGCTGATTGATTTTAAAGCATCGTCCTGGCCCAACCCCTTCTCAAATTAACATATAACAGGTCTTGCAACCTGCATTAATTTCCTAGGAGCTTAAGTGTGTGTGTTTCGACTTGTTACAGATGAATCAATCAAGTTAATACCACCATTGCAACCATTATCTCTCAAATGATGTGACACTGATGTAACATCTCTTATTACATGATGCTGACTGACGTGATGACAGGTGTGGAATGTGTCTGATAGATGTGTATGTGTGTGTGTGTGTGTGTGTGTGTGTGTGTGGAGGGGGGGGGGGGGGGGGGGTGTTGTTGAGGGTTGAATTGTTTGGATTCTGAGAAAAGCAAGACTCAATGATTTATCAGGGAGTGTTATCAGCCGTTGGTGATGTAACTGCTGACTAATAATTCTCTTTTGCTCTTTAGAAAAGTGATTTATAAATCACATTAAATTACATTACGCTGTACACACCCTAAAAGATGCTTTACCGTTTCTAATGTTTCACAGGACCTTTTCTAACACTGGTTTTCCTACGGATCTAGAATTTGGTGTAAAGACTAAAAAACTGCAATGGATATTGCATTGTGCAAGTAGTGTGATATTAATTGCACTATACAATATCTCACAAAAGTAAGTACACCATTCACATTTTTGTAAATATTGGATTATATCTTTTCAACACTGACAAAGTGACACTTTGCTACAATGTAAAGTAGTGAGTGTACAGCTTGTATAACAGTGTAAATTTGCTGTCCCCTCAAAATAACTTAAACCACTGGCAACAAAAGTGAGTACACTGCTATGTGAAAAGTGTCAATATTTTGTGTGGCCACCATTATTTTCCAGCATTGCCTTAACACTCTTGGGCATGGAGTTCACCAGAGCTTCAAAGGTGGCCACTGGAGTCCTCTTCCAGTCCTCCATGATGACATCACGGAGCTTGTGGATGTTAGAGACTGGTTTCTATCAGATCATTTTGTAAGTATCGCAAGTTGGGTCCATCATGTAACAATATACGAGAAGAACACACAAGGCTGAGCGAATGTTCCTTTATATTTAAATAAATAGAGCCAGGCTCAGCTTTCTGAATTAGAAGTTGATTAGTCATCAATCTTTCGTCATAAAAATAAAGGTTGCATCTTATTTTATCATCTTTTATTTGTTCAATACATTGTATTTGCACTTTCATTTCATTGTGAAATACTGTAGGTGGACATATTTTGAGCAACAATGTCCTAGTTATTAATTTAAAAGCTTAATATTCTCAACAGATACTGGTCTCTTTTTTCCCCCATCTTTTCTCTTTGCATTCTCTCTGAAAGTACAAAGTCATGGTTAAAACAGAAATTGAACGATCTGCTCCATTTATTGAGCACAACTTTCTGGAATGATTTTGTCCTCAGTCCAGCCAAGCCAAGCTGTATTTTCTTTTCACAAATCCTTTTATTGCAATAAATGCCCTTTCAGTTCTGCCTTCAATTCTCATAGAGTTATTATTTATAATGTATTTAAAATAGATGCCGTATATAATGTCTCAAGGTAATACACACATACTTATTGTACAACAAAAAATGTATTACTTCCAGCTAATAATGAATTAATTTCCAACAAAAAATTCTTAACTCAGATTGGCTGGAGGGGACACCTTACACTCAAGTTTTTGATTGTCGTCCTGTTCCATTCATTTAGAAATGAGAATTATTATTGTGCGCAGCAACCAGTAGGAAGCAGTGGTGTGCTAAGTGTTAGACAGCTTGTTAGGCAAGATGCTTGCTTTTACACCCTGACTGGTTGGACGAGTGATTAATGCTCCGTGACAACAGACAAAGGACTACTGAGTAACTTTCCAGTGAAACAAGGCAGAACATATACACTGCATATTTTACTTATCAAACACATGTCTCTAAGTTTCAAAGGTAGGTGGACTTACAAGACCTGGCTCTTAATCAATAACACTCACCAGTCCTTTTGATTTTAGTGTACTTTGGAACAAAATTCTGCGTCTGTAGCTCAACTTCTAGAATAAATTCAAGATAAAAGATGAATGTGTTTGTATGTCTGCAACAAAGTTTCTAAAGCATGGCCAAATGAAAAATTAACAGCTTTAGGAGACAATAATGACATCCTACACACAGAGTGGCCACTTAATTAGGTACACCTGTACAATCTAATTACACTGTCATAGACGTGTCAATTCAATTCTAAGTTTTAGCATAGAGATCTTTCAGTAAGTGATGGTTTTGTAGTGACTGCATTATATTGAGAGATTTCTAATATTATGAAATATATTGTTATACTCTGGAATTTACATCTATTTGTGTCAAAGTCTGAGCTTGCTGCTGACGTACAACATGCTGCCAAAAGTTGTCTTTGGCTTTGTTTATGGCTTGTTGTTTTTGATCTATGATCTGTGCTTTTATGTGTCTGTTTTTGTAAAATTAAGAAATGTCTGTCAAGCTCATCCAAGACATTTCTTACACTAAAAACAAGCCATCTTTATACAACATAAAGATGAAACCAATTAACAAGCACAACAGTTATTATACTCATTATCTTCACTGTAGTTTTACTGTTAAAGCTTAAATTTGTCTCTTAAATGTATCTGAACTCATCTTTGTGGAAAGTCTTTTTCTTGCTGTTCAATTCATCTTCATGAACCCACAATTCAAGACAATATTTAAAAGATTTGCTCGTGACTTTAATCAACCCAGTCGGTACACTGCAACACAACTGTTGCTTGAGCATGTTGCGAGTATTTGGTAAGCAGTCGAGCAATGGCATGCAGAGTTACATAATGAAACTTCTTTCCACAGATAACTTCATGTACAATGTCCTTTTAATTCTTATATGTTGTACATGCATGTGCTTGTAAACTCAGTGATACTCTCTTCGAAACCCAAATCTCTTATATGTACACACACACACGCACACTGTAACCATTCACTCCATACATTGGCACATCAAACCCCACACAGACACACTTCTAATTGCAGAGAAACACACACACACACACACACACATTAGCTGTCCTGCTGAATAAGGTCTTTGGCTTTTTGCAGGTTGTGATCGACGGCTCCATCTAAGAACTGAACCCAGGTCAGCTGTGATTCCCCACACACATGACTGGATCTGTACAGGTTGAAAAGAGGGGAGGGTTGTGAAAAAAATGGCAGCAGCAGGACAGCAATAAGCACAACCTAACTACCTGCGCACACTCTGTCCTTGCACCCATCGTGCATGAAAATTTTGGGGGAGCGTGTGATTTTTTCTGTTGGAGACTTTCGAAATCTAGCTTTCTCTTTATAGTTTCTCCGTTACCTAGCTTTACCTGATGACATGTCAGATTTACAGACACCACAAGTTTCTCAAACTGATCTTTTTGATCGGTCCACTTTATCTCAACTTCAACACGGGGGTTCCTTCATGATTTGTCGATGTTGCCCAGTAATTACAAACTGAATTTACAGAAAACCCACCGAACTGTAGGTGAATCAATCTTACCTGATGATCTCCAGAACTTTCTTTAACAGTGCTGCCAATTTAGAGACCTGTAGAGAAACACACTTTTGTTTATTTGTTATATATTACTGCATTTCATTAGCTCTGTACCTGTACTTTGCATAATGACAATAAAGTTGAATCCAATCTAATCAAATAATTATTCATTTAAAAAAAATATTTGACAGCCTGGGACGTGTAACTACATTTTAAAAAAACAACATAAAATTGTGTAATTTACTCTATGAATTGAAAAAAGTCCAAATGTCCATCATAGTTTCCAAGATTTTTCAGACTTATTTTGTTGGACCAACAGTGCAAAGATATTCAGTTCAAAATTTTTCTGTCATGTCCCCCCTTTAGAGGACCCAAAAAGTTCAAGCTGGGCAACTTAAAACCAAATATTCAGGTTAGCAAAATAGTCTTTCTTGCAAGAACTCCAACAACACTGGTACTTTTAGTAGCTGGATTTCCTGTGCAAACTATGAACTACCATGATCAGAGATTGTGATGCAGCACATAATGAGTGGTTTTCTGTAAGAGAGGAACAGCAGTCAAAGGCATTTACTTACCTTGATGACACGCTGGAGTTTAGACTTCACACAAATTTTATTGACCAATCAACTCAAGTTCATCATCTAACATCACTGTGGTTGCTGCATGTTTTGTTCCTTCACTGCAATATTTTTCTCTTAAATAACATTTAAATTAGTTATCAAGTTGTAATTTGAGTAACCTGTACAACACTTCTGGAGTCAAAACATACTGTCAATGATACAAGCAACTCAATGAAGCTATTTTTGTATGTACGAGTGTGTGTGTGTGTCTTACGTTGGTCTCAACTCCACTGTAGTCCATGGGCGGGTAGAGACAGAGAGCCAGATCATCAACACTGCGGAAAAAAGCAAGAGGCAGAGATTTGTTTTTATGACTATATTAGTTTTTAAACTCACTGTAAAAATTTATATATTTTTTTAAATAAAAACCTTTAATAAAAACAGCTTATTGAACAAAGGGGTGGTAAAATGTCTCATTTGAACATTTGTGCAGACAAAAAATAAATGGCATGGGAAAAATATTTTTGATGCCTTAATAATAATAATAATAAATTGAATTTGTATAAGCGCTTTTCACGAACTCAACGTCGCTTAAGAACACTTGAAAACAGCCTGCTTGCACAGAGTCTGCACTTTAATTTAACTGTTGAGAAGAAATATTTGAACTATTTTAGTCTATCATGACTTTGTTAAAACTGTTGAGAATTTGGTTACCACATTTACAAGTTGAAATTTACCCATTCTGTTTGGTGAGTAGACACCAATAAAACCAAGAACGTTGTAATTTATTCTAACTACGGTATTTTCTGCTGTGATTTAGTGCATTTCACTTCCTTTCAGTTTTCAAGTTGGCAAACCAGTTTCTAATAGTGCAGTACAGATCTAAAAAAAAAAGACATCAGCTCACTTGATAACACGACAGTGATAACAGTGTGTGTGTGTGTGTGTGTGTGTGTGTGTGTGTGTGTGTGTGTAAGGGGTCTATACATGTATATAAATAACTGTATATATTGTTATATTTTATTTTTACCA